TAACTGGGACTACAGGCATCTGGTATCATGCCCAGCTTATTTTTGTATTTTAATAGAGACAGGGTTTCTACTAAAGGTTGGCCTTTATTTTTTAAGATCAGAAGCAGGGGGAGAGGGATGAGTGAGATAACAAACTTTACTGCCACATCCTTTTGACCCTCACCAGGTGTATAATGAGTTCATTCTGCCCTCGGAGCGAGATGGATTTCTCAGAAGGATTCGGGAGATTATCCAGAGAGTGGAGACCCTGTTGAAGAGAGACACTGGCCCCATGGAGGCTGCTGAAGACACCCTATGCACCCAGGTCAGACCCCTCTGGACACTTCCAGGGGAAATGGACTCTATGCTCCAGGGTTCATTACTCTCTGCCTTCAGCAGTCCCCTTGGATCTAACTCCTCTTCATCTCTCAGGCCCTAAAACAGTGGCCCTTACCCCATTTGAGAATATGATGAAAGCCATGGACTCTTGTTCTAGAAAACTTGTTCAATGCATACTTTTAACTCATTATTTTGAAATAATTTCAGACTTGTGGAGAGAAGTTGCAAGAATTGTACAAAGAACCCCTGCATACCCTTGCCCAGATTTGCCAATTGTTAGTATTTTGCCACCTTAGCATTATCATTCTCTCTTCCTCTCCCCTCTCTGTATGTGTGCACACATATTATATTTTTCTGAATCATTTGAGAGTAGGTTGCAGACATTATGCCCTTTTACCCCTAAATTTCACCACATGTGCTGCTGAATCCCTTGAAACTCATGTATGGACTCCTAGAGGTTCATGGGTCCTAGCTTAGGAACCCTGGTCTGAAACCTTCCATCTCAGACTGCTGTTCCCCACTGTGACTGGACTCTTCTCTGCCTCAGGAGGAGCCAACACCATTACCTGCCCTGCCCGTCCCCCTCCCAGACTCATCCGACGGTATGTACTGTTGTGTCCTTGTTCATTCTAACCCTTGGGGTTGCTCCTGAAAAGGGCATAGGACATGTGGGACTGTCATCTCAACATACCCTCCTTCCCAGCAGAGCCCCAGAGCAGCACCTCCCTGGAGCACAGGAGCTGGGCAGGCTTCTCTACCTCCTCATCTTCTGGAACTCCTTTGTCTCCCGGAACCCCCATTTCCCCAGGCCCCATCTTCCCCATCACTTCTCCCCCATGTCATCCCAGCCCCTCCCCATTCTCCCCCATTTCTTCCCAGGTCTCAAATCCCTTTCCGCACCCCACCAACTCTCCACTTCCATTCTTCAGTGCACCCGAGTTTCCAGTCCCACCCTCTCAGTTTCCCCAGAGTTCTCTCCCAAGTTCTCCACCTGCATTCTCTCCCCGTTGTTCTCAGGTCACTCTTAGTCCCCCTTTTGTTCCCCTGTGCCCCTCCACTGCTTCCCTCCCCTCCACCACAGCAGCCCCTCTCCTCTCTCTGGCTAGTGCCTTCTCACTGGCTGTGATGACTGTGGCCCAGTCCCTGCTGTCCCCCTCACCTGGGCTCCTTTCCCAGTCTCCTCCAGCCCCACCTAGTCCTTTCCCTAGCCTGCCACTTTCCCCTTCCCTTGCCTCTTGTGGCCAGGAGAGCCCTTCACCCCACACAGCTGAGGTGGAGAGTGAGGTGAGTAGAAAACAAAGAGGGATGATTAGGGAGACTCCATTCTATACTTTTCCCTTCTCATGGACCCACACTTTCTAGGCCTTGCCAACTCCTGCTCGGCCCCTCCCAGGTGAAGCCAGGCTGGCACCCATCTCTGAAGGTGAGGCCTCTGACCACTGACCTTCCCCCACCATTATCCCTACTTGCTGTCTATCCTGACACTGACTGCTCTCCTTTTCTCATGCCTTCCTCCTCATCACCCTACAGAGGGAAAGCCACAGCTTGTTGGGCGTTTCCAAGTGACTTCATCGAAGGAACCGGCTGAGCCTCTTCCCCTGCAGCCAGCATCCCCCACTCTCTCCGGTTCTCCGAAACCTTCAACCCCTCAGCTCACTTCAGAGAGCTCAGATACAGAGGACAGTGCTGGAGGCGGGCCAGAGACCAGGGAAGCTCTGGCTGAGAGCGACCGTGCAGCTGAGGGTCTGGGGGCTGGAGCTGAGGAGGAAGGAGATGATGGGAAGGAACCCCAAGGTGGGGGCAGCCCCCCACCCCTAAGCCATCCCAGCCCTGTGTGGTTGAACTACTCCTATAGCAGCCTGTGTCTGAGCAGCGAAGAGTCAGAAAGCAGTGGGGAAGATGAAGAGTTCTGGGCTGAGCTGCAGAGTCTTCGACAGAAGTGAGTCTGGGGAGGATAGAGGAGCAAGAGGTGAACCTGGGAGAGCGAGGGGTGTGGCTAGCCCTTTCGTGCCTTCTGTGCATCCTCAGGCACTTATCAGAGGTGGAAACACTACAGACACTACAGAAAAAGGAAATTGAAGACTTGTACAGCCGACTGGGGAAGCAGCCTCCACCGGGTATTGTGGCCCCAGCTGCTATGCTGTCCAGCCGCCAGCGCCGCCTCTCCAAGGGCAGCTTCCCCACCTCCCGCCGCAACAGCCTACAGCGCTCTGAGCCCCCAGGCCCTGGTGAGACTGCAGTCATCCATCTTCCATCTTTTCCCTGAGACCCCTTCCTATCCACTCAGTTTTTTCCAGGCCCTGGGGGTCTGTCCCGGGGGACTAGCCCCCCTCTCCCCACCTCCCTTTTCCTCACTTAGTGCTCTCCCTCCCCCATCCTGCTCCCAGGCATCATGCGAAGGAACTCCCTGAGTGGCAGCAGCACCGGCTCCCAGGAGCAGCGGGCAAGCAAGGGGGTGACATTCGCCGGGGATGTTGGCAGGATGGTGAGGGCGGGCCCAAGGGAGGGAGAGCCCAGGGAATGGTACCTGGCTGCAGCTTTGCCTTCTTCCCACCTTGGAGGTTTCTTCATCACTTTTTCTTTTCCCTCCAGTGAATTCAGAACAGAAGCCATGTATCTCCCTCACACCAGGGCCCACCATGAAGCTTGTGTTCTCAGAATCTGATGCTTTTCTGACCAACACAACTAAGCAAGGAAGATCCCAGCACTGAGGGAGTAGAAGGCCAGGGGGACATGGAGAGTGCAGCTCCATTATAGTGAAGAGCCAAACATATGTGAACTGTTTGCTGTGTGAAGGTGTCAGTTCTGCAGCCTACCATCTTCATCTACCCCCTCCCCTGCCAAGAGTCAACCACTAAGCAATCCCGCCCAATCCCAGATGCTTCTAAAGGGGCTCACTCCCAGCTGGGAGAGTGCAGGGAATATGCTCACACATTAGCAGCAGCCAATAAAAATGCTGGAAACAAGGACGCTGTGGATCCATACGCCATGCCTTAGGAACTGGGGGGAAAAGCCCTGTGGGGTGAGGCAGGGGAGGATTTAAAAGGGACTCTCTTTTCACAGTGGGAGGCAAGGGTGGAAGCTGCCTAGCCCTCTGGCTTCCTGCCATCAGTTAATGAGGAAACTGCAAGGTCAGTGATCCACTTGACCAAGTTAGGATCCCCTCCAGATTCCACTGTAGACCTGTACAGGCAGGTACCAGGGAAAGTTAAAAGAATGAAGGCTGCCTGTCTTTCACCATTCGTCCACCTCTCTCTCTCCCTCTCTCTGGTGATGGGAAAAACAGTAGAGTTACAGTATGTTCTCGTGGGTAGAGGGCAGAAGAGTGACCTTCCTTCCCCTAAGACGTGGGTTCAGTCTCAAAACAGCCCAGTGATCTCTCCCTTAAATCAGGTGGAAAGATCTCATGGAAAAAGTAATTCTAGTTAAACATTTACAGCTCCCTGGGGCAATGCCACCACTGCTGCTACCACCTGTGAAGCTTTCCAGCATAAAGTGCCATATGCTGCCTCACAGCCTCCACACTCACATGACTCCAGGAGAGATCATTCAGTTTATTATTCTCATCTTGACCCTATCTATCCCACTGTAGGCTCCAACACTGCACAGAGCTGCCAAGCCTAACCCCATTAACAGCTGCATCCCTGGAAGGTGAAGGGGGTAAACCATAAAGAAACTCTGGGAAAAGCCAAGGTCAAACGCACACTTCTCAAGGAAACAAACTGCAAGAATGGGCTCAGTCACTGTACACAGCAAATGTGCTGTGGGCAAAGTTCTGTTCTTTTGACAGTGGCCAAATGCATAACTCCCTGGTTTCTTGAGCTCAATCATGGTCCAAGGTTAGTAAGGGTCATGGGGCATCATTCACCACGTGAAAGGGTTCCAGCAGGTTGGAGATATCCAATATCCATCCATATTAGGATCCTGACGCCCTTGCCAGAGCTCGGGCTCGAGCAGCTTTGGCCTCTTCTTCTAGCTCATCTAGGAAACGCTCCTGGGAAATCGAGTAGAAGGTGTAACCATCTGGGGAGGTAGGTTCAGGAAACCACTTGGAATATGTACATTCCCCTTTCCTAGATTTGCTCTACCACTCTTGTTACTCTCCCAAATCAGTGATTCCGGCTTCCCGCCTGCTGCTCTTTCTAAGCCCTAAACTCCAATTCCGTTATTATTAATAAATCAAATTAAAAGAGTACCTAAGGAATAACAAAAGCTACTAACCCCATTTTACCCAAAAGTTAAACGGGTGGTTCGGCTTTCCTGCACATTCTGTTACCCTGCCCCTGCCCCTGTCCCTGCCCCTGCCCCTGCCCCTATATACGGTCCCCTGAAGTCTACAACACGGGCGGATACAAATAGCTAACGCCAGGGCCCCGATGCCTAGGCCGGTCATGATGTTCCGGGTCCGCCGCTGTGGTAGGGCCTTCTGCCACTGGGCAAGCTGCGCCTGCCGCATGAAATGCAGTTGCTCAGGTGTCAGCTTCTCCCGAGTCGGGTCGATACGCTGAGCGAACTGGGCCTCTCCACGTTTAGCATCCAGAGGATCACCACCGCCCGAGGCCGCCATGTTGCCGCTCCTCCCTTTGCGGTGCCGCCGCGCGGGGTTCGCTGGGAATGGTAGTCCTTGGCCGTTGCAGTGGACGCTGGGAGTTGTAGTCCGCGTGCCCTTTCCCGGGCAGAGCCGAGGTTCCAGGGCACGGGGGATGGACGCGAGAGGTGAGAAGCGGACGTGCTTTCTGATTGGCTGAGGAGTCCGCGGGCCGTTGGGGCGGGAAAAAGCTGTGGAGGGTTTGAGGCTGTGGTGGGAATTGAGTTTTCCTCAGACTTAAGGCGAAGACACACTCACTGGAAGGGGTCGAGGAATCCAGGGTGTGGTGGAAGACTGGAGAGGAGCTAACGGGGTCGGTATATGGATCCAGTGGACCGTCCAGGTGCCCCAAGAGGCTAGTGAATATGGACGGCCCCGTGAGGCCAAGATTGGCCTCTCTCGTTGACTTTCAGTTTGGAGTTGTCACCACAGAGACGATTGAAGACACCCTGCTTCACTTGGCCCAGCAGAATGAGCAAGCAGTGCGGGAGGCTGCGGGGCAGCTGGGCAGCTTCAGGGAGCCCCGGATCGTGGGTGTGGCTGCAGCGCCGGGGAGCTGGGTTCATGGGAGACTGGGGCATGTGTCTTTCAGGCACTGACCTTAAGATTCCATTGATTTTATTCATTCAAAAAATATTTGGTGGCCAGGCATCTTGGCTCACGCTTGTAATCCCAGCACTTTGGGAGGCCGAGGCGGGCGGATCACCTGAGGTTGGGAGTTCAAGACCAGCCTGACCAACATGGTGAAACCCCAGTTATAGTGATGGACAAGACACAATAGTACCCTCCGTTTGATTTCTTTGATATGTATGGAGTACTTACTAATGGCACTGCCTGGATAGAAAGATGAAATAGAGGGCCAGGCGTGGTGGCCCATGCATGTAATGCCACACACTTAAGGAGGCTGAGGCATGTGGATCACTTGAGGCCAGAGTTAAAAGACCAGCCTGGCCAATATGGTGAAATCCTGTCTCTACTAAAAAAAATACAAAAATTAGCTGGGCGTGGTGGCACACACCTGTAATCCCCTCTACTTGGGAGGCTGAGACAGGAGAATCACTTGAACCCAGGAGGCAGAGGTTGCACTGAGCCAAGATCATGCCATTGCACTTCAGCCTGGGCAACAAGAGTGAAACGCTGTCTCAAAAAAAAAAAAAAAAAAACAAAGTTGAAAAAGAGATAGAGGCCTTGCCTTCAAACCATATGCAATTTAGCGGAGATATTAGGACAAATATGCAATGACTAGGTACTATGTTAGATAAGTGACATCAGAGAGAGAGAGAGAAAACAAGTGTTTATGGGGATTGAGAGGAGCAATGGGGTGACAGGAAGAATTCAGGGGATGGCCCAGGCATTGGAACTGATCAGGCAGACCTTGAAGGAAGGAGGACATTGGGTTCGTGAAGGGGGAGGAAGGAGACAGTGTTTCTACCAAAAAGGGGTAGCATGAGTAAAGCTATGGAAATGGGGTGCTTGGGGTGCTTAGGGTGCATGTGGGTACAGTGTAGTCCACGCCGGCCAGTGTGGAAGAGTAGTTGAAATTAAGACCAGAAAAGTAGTTTGGAGACATTCCATGTGGAAGTTTGAATGCCAAGGGGAAGAGTTTATGCTTGCTTTAGTAGGAAACCAGTAAAACATGGAAGGTTTTTAAATAAGGGAGTGATATGACAGTAACCCTGCCTTAGTAAGCATTATTTTGGCAGTGATGTAAAGGAGGTAAAGGATGGATTCAACCCTAGGGAGATGGGAGATAGGCAGGCAGGTAGAGTCAATGTCTTTAGGCTAGGTGATAGGGCAGAGGGAATGACAAAGGAGAGTGGATTAAAAACATTCCAGAGGCAAAGTCTAGGGTTCTGCCTTGGATAAATTAAAGAAATGAAGGAGAAAAAGGTGACTATGCCAAACGGTTGAACGTAAGAGACTGGGAGTATAGTGGTTATTAAAAGAAACACATAGGCTGGGTGCGGTGGCTCACGCCTGTTATCCCAGCACTTTGAGAGGCCAAGACGGGTGGCTCACTTGAGGTCAGGGGTTCAAGACCAGCCTGGTCAACATGGTGAAACCCTGTCTCTATTAAAAATACAAAAATTAGCCAGACATGGTGACGGGCACCTGTAGTTCCAGCTACTCAAGAGGCTGAGGCAAGAGAATCACTTGAACGTGGTAGGTGGAGGTTGCAGTGAGCCAAGATTGCACCACTGCACTCCAGCCTAGGCAACAGAGTGAGACTTGTCTCAAAAAAGAAAGAAAGAAACACACAGACACACTACACAAATAAAGCAGGAGGAAAAGTTACTGTTGTTTGGGAAAGAGAATAGCTTTTTGGAGCCTGGCCAACCTGGTGAAACCCTATGTCTACTAAAAATGCAAAAATTAGCCAGGCGCAGTGTCAGAAGAATCACTTGAACCCAGGAGGTGGAGATTGCAGTGAGCCAAGATCGTGCCATTGCACGCCTGCCTGGATGACAGAGTGAGATCCTGTCTCTCTCTATATATACACACACACACACACATATACATACATACATATATATATTATATATACTATATATATATGAAATAGCTTTGGTTTGGGATCTGCTAAGTTTAAGGTGTTTGCAGAACATCTAAAGGAAGTGTTCTTGTAGACTATTCAAAAAGTAGGTCAGAAGAGAGGTCAGAAATGGAGATAAAAGTTTTCAAGTTATCTTCACAATGATATCGTTGAAACTGTGGCAAAGGATGAGCTCCTAGAAGGAAAAAGACAAGCAGGTCAAGGACAGTTCCTTGGGTAACACTTCGTGTTCAGGGGATTGGAGTAAGAAGACTTATGAAAGAAAAGGAGGAGATAGGAACAGAACAAAAGGGACTTTTGGAAGCCAAAAGGAGACTTTGAAAAGGATGATGGTCAGCAGTTTCAGATGCTTAAGGGATATCAACAGAATTAAAGATTTCAAAAAGCCATGAAATTTAACAATTTGGACATAGGTATTATCATCTGAGAATCATTTCAGCAAGTTAGGAAAGGTAGAAGCCAAAATGTAGAAAATTAGGGAGTGAATGAAGTGGCAGCAGTAGGTGTGTAAGCCAGGCTTTCAAGTAATTCAACAGCGAGGCTGAGACAGGAGTATTGCTTGAGCCCAGGAGTTTGAGACCAACCAGCCTGGGCAATATAGCAAGATCCTGTCTATTATTTACTTATTTATTTATTTTTTAAAAATTCAACAGCCATGGGAAGGAGAGAGGTGGAGCCCTCCCCTAAGAGGCTAGAAGGGGAGGGTCTTTTAGTTAATGCAGATCTGAGTATGCTTGTTAGCAAGGAGATGGGGCCAGTAGTAAGGGAGAGGTATAACCCTCATCCATTCCACCTGATCTGAGCTCAGTTTTCTTGGCAAATTAAAATGGAAAACAGAAACAAATGCCCAGATAATTCAGAGCAAAACCAAACCAAAACTAAACAACTGCACACATACAGAAAGAACAAAACTAAGAAATAAAGCCTAAAGTCCAGCAAATAAAATGACTAATAACAGACACAATTATGTGCTCTAGGGTATTTTGCTGAGTTGCTTCAACTAACTCTGTCCTGCATTGGACATTGCTAGCCAAACTGTAGCCTCTGTAATGATGAGGTTTTGTACGTATATCTATGTATAATGTGTACTGAGTAGATTGTTAAAGTGTCTTGTGCTAGCTTGACTCATTTTCTAAGAAAGTTAAATTTTTTCTGAAGACATATGATTATTTGACTGTATGTGTAATTCTCTACTGATCAATGCTAAAAGGTCCTTGGTCTGTAGGAGCTTTCTTTGTTGAGAACTGATATTTATCCTTGTTTCCACCCTCTAATGATATTGCAAGCTAAATAGAATTCTATCTGGAGCTATTCTTTCAAAGAGAAACAGAGGCGGGCTAAAATCTTGCCAAGGTATCTCAACCTTCTCACCTTCCCAGTGACTCCCTCCCCCCAAATTGGATTATGTTCCCTGATTTAGGGATGTTTCTTCAAAACAAGCCTCTTCACAGTAACACACTTCCTCCTGGGGAGAGGCTCAGCCACCACAGATTTACCCAACAAACTGGTGGAGGAGAGATGGTGTCCAGCTGTAAGGTGGCTTGTGTTTGTAAAGCAATGGGAGTTCTCCAGAGGGTGGTTACTAAACAAACAGTGTCATAAAGAATATTGAAGCTCCAGGAGGGACCTTTCTCTTCCTGCCAACATTCCACAGAAAACAGAATATAGGAGTTAGGGTTCTTATCCATCCAAGAATCTTCCTTGAAGCTGGGGGGTTCCCAGCATGGTGTAGAGGTCACCTAGACAAGCTGGTATGTTTGTGTGTAACTGGCCAAGCCTTTTATCAGCTGAGACCCACAGGAAGGCTCAAGGGTCATTGAGCGGGCTTCGTAAGCCCTTGTCTTTCACACTCAGTCAGCCTCCTTTTCATGCCTCTGATCTGCCTATTGGCAGCAAAGGAAACTAAGCTCAGCTTTGGTTGTTTTAGTCTCATCTTTCTCACCTCCTGACCCTCTTCCCTTGGCCCTATCATGGCTTTTGCACAACACCAAGAGTTCACAGAGCAGTTTTGGTTGCATCTTGTGAATTAGGCTGTTTTTTTCCTGTTTTGGCAGAGTTTGTTTTTCTCCTGTCTGAAGAATGGTGTCTGGAGAAATCTGTGAGCTACCAGGCTGTAGAGATCCTAGAAAGGTAAAGCCCTGGCATAAGGCCTTTGTAAGTCGCACCTCTCAGAGCGGCTAATGTACGTACATCTTTAATAAAGTACTAGTAGTTGCCCCTTACCCTGAGACCTGGCTTTACACACTAACTTGCAAATGTAAATTTCTTTGTTGTTATTGTTGTTGTTTTGAGACAGGGTCTCACTCTGTCACCCAGGCTGGAGTACAATGGTGGGATCTCAGCTCACTGCACCCTTGACCTCCTGGGCTCAAGCAATCCTCCCACCTCAGCTTCCTGAGTAGCTGGGACTACAGCATGTGCCTCCACACTTGGCTAATTTTTTTTTTTTTTTTTTTTTTTTTTGTAGAGACGGGTTTTCACCGTGTTGCCCAGGGTGGTCTTGAACTCCTGGGCTCAAGTGATCAGTCTGCCTCAGCCTCCCAAAGTGCTGGGATTACAGATACAAGCCACCATGCTCAGCCTCAAATGTAAATTTCTTAGCCGGCAAATTAATTTGTGTGAGTGTGGATTGTTTACTCTCTCCTTCCCTTCCTTATAGGTTTATGGTAAAACAGGCAGAGAACATCTGCAGGCAAGCCAGAATCCAGCTGAGAGATAATAAGAGAGAGTTTCAGAATTGGAGGGCTCTGAAAGAGCAGCTTTTCAACAAGTTTACTCTCCGTCTTGTGTCATGTGTTCAGTTGGCCAGCAAACTTTCCTTCCAAAGCAAAGTAAGGAGCTGGGGTTGCTCATGGGTACCTGAGAGTTAGGAAGAAACCAGCTTATACAAAGGGGGCTGTGATGAGCTTCAAGTTAGCAACAAGAAGAAAATAAATAAATTACAAATTAAAAACAGCAATGGGCCGGGCATAGTGGCTCATGCCTGTAATTCCAGCACTTTGGGAGGCTAAGGTGGGTGGGTCACCTGAGGTCAGGAGTTCAAGACCAGCCTGGCTAACATGGTAAACCCAGTATCTACTAAAAATACAAAAATCAGCCAGGTGTGGTGGTGCATGCCTGTAATCCCACCTCCTCGGGAGGCTGAGGCTGGAGAATCACTTGAACCCGGGAGGCGGAGGTTGCAGTGACCTGAGATCGTGCCATTGCACTCCAGCCTAGGTGACAGAGCAACTCTGTCTCAAGAGAAAAAAACCCAACAACAAAAAACAAGGTAGCTGTGAGAAACATACTCCTAGGCTAGGTGATACAACTCGTGGAAATTCCAGAGTGTAATTATGCTTCCTAAGCACACCTCCTACATACACACTTTCTCTCTCTCTCTCTCTCTCTCACTCTCTCCCCGCCCCCACTCACACAGGGGCAGTTGTTAAATAGCCTGAAGTTCTGTTCCCAAAGTATAATTGGGACAGATGCCATCATTCATACTGGTCACCTTTCCTCCCCTTGGACTCAAGGGCAGTTTACATAAGGTTCCTGAATTGCCAGCATACCTATCACCAGTAAAGACAAACTATTACATTTATAAGGAAAAAAAATGTTTCCACATCACTACCCAATGCCTATACAGTAAAATATCATTCATTCAACAAATACTTACTGAGTTTATTCTATGGCCAGATGGTGTACTAGGTGCCATGGCTACGACAGTAAAAAAATATTGTCTATGCTCACAAGGAACCTATTATGTAATGGGAAAAGACATATATGAATAGTGTGAAAAAATGCTCTGATTAGTGTAAATACAGAGGGCTATATATGTACCTCATCAGCCTTGGAGAGTCAAGGAAGTGTATTTAGAGAAAATGACTTATTGAAATGGGTGGGGTGGGAGACAGGTGGATCCTAAGAGAAGAGGGAGAGGAGTTAGGGAGAGCAGTGAGAGGAAGGGAGGAAAGGAAGGGGGATCCAGGTATAGAAAACAGCATGCGTAGTAGCTTGGAGAGGGACAGCATGGGGATTTGGGAACTGCAAGTAATCCTGAATGACAAGCAGAGTATGAGGGGGAATTACCAAGAGACAAGACTGGAGATGAAGGAATGGGCTGGATTTTGAAGGGCTTTGTGCACTCTGCCAAGATTTATGACCTTTATCCTAACATTCTTCTTTCCCCGTTTTTTCTTTGCTCAGATAATCAGCAACGTTACAGTCTTGAATTTCCTCCAGAGTCTAGGCTATTTACACACTAAAGAAGAATTGTTGGAGTCAGAGCTTGATGTTTTGAAGTCCCTGAACTTCCAAATTAATCTGCCCACTCCCTTGGCATATGTGGAGATACTCCTAGAGGTTTTAGGTATCTTATTAAGTGTGTCAGGGAATATGGGTTGGAGACTTCCATAGAAGGCAATACAAAATGTGCACAGGAAGGGGGTGGCATGTGCAGTACCTCACACCTGTAATCCCAGCCCTTTGGGAGGCCGAGGCATATGGATCAATTCAGGCCGGGAGTTCAAGATCAGCCTGGTCAAAGCCCATCTCTACTAAAAATACAAAAATTAGGGCCAGGCAGAGTGGCTCACACCTATAATCCCAGCACTTTGGGAGGATGAGGTGGGTGGATCACGAGGTCAGGAGTTTGAGACTGGCCTGGCCAAGACTGTGAAACCCCATCTCTACCAAAAAATATAAAAATTAGCCAGGCGCAGTGGCAGGCGCCTGTAATTTCCAGCTACTTGGGAGGCTGAGGCAGGAAAATCGTTTGAACCCAAGAGGCGGAGGTTGCAGTGAGCTGAGATCGCACCACTGCACTCTAGCCTGGGTGACACAGCAAGACTCCATCTCAAAAAACAAACAAAAAAATTAGATGGGAGTGGTGGTGAGCCCCTGTAATCCCAGCTACTTGGGAGGCCCTGGGAGGAGGAGGTTGCAGTGAATTGAGATGTGCCACTGCACTCCAGCCTGAGTGACAGAGTGGACTCCATCTCAAAAAAAAAATATCTGCATAGAGGTTTGGGAGCAGTGGGCAAAACCTGCCAATGAGGAATAGTAGGAAGCTTGATGGTGTCTCTGGATGACTGAAAAAGGTGTTTCCTCTGACACTTGTCAGGGAAAGCAGCTCAGAGGTCTTAGCGACTGGTTTCTGTTTGGACTCACTAGTCACACTTTGATTCTTGCAGGATCAAAGAGTTGATTTTATAGACAGGCATAAGATAAGAGAGGGACAACTACATGCTAATTGTATGTATACTACAGATGGAGGTTTCTTTACCTCACCTTTGTCCTTCAAAATTGATCTCCAGCTAATTGTAGTAGAATATAGCAACCAGGAAGTATATTAGCACCCCAACAGCTTTGTCACAACTGTGGTTACGATCAGAGAAGATATGATCATAAATTCTTCCTATCATTCCCATACTCCATCTAGGATACAATGGCTGTTTGGTTCCAGCCATGAGGCTGCATGCAACCTGCTTGACACTGCTTGACCTGGTCTATCTTCTGCATGAACCCATATATGAGAGCCTGTTGAGAGCTTCAATTGAGAACTCCACTCCCAGTCAGCTGCAAGGGTAAGACAACTCCTATAGGGTAAGCTCCTTCCAGGAAAACAGTGGGAGACAGACTACAAGAACTTGGGGAATGGAATTAACCTAGCAAGGAATCTAGTCCCCGGATAACCTACTGAGGTCACCTGGTTATCATTAGCTCCCAATATGTTGCTTGGATGCAGATGACTGAGCCCGATCAGGAAAACCCTAAAGGCTTTTACTTTTAGATTTAAATTACTTCAAGTAATTAACATATTTTCTTTCCTAGTTCTTCCTTTATAGTTGCATGTAACTCAAGGTTACTGGACTGCTTTGGTCAGTCACTTAGAAAAAAAAGTCACAGGGTTGCAACTTGTGTAAAAGTGTTTGATTACTGTAAAGCCAGACTGGTTAAAAGCCTGAGTTACAATTGCTAGAGAAACAGATGGAACTACAAAAGCCTATAAACCATTCAGACATGAGGCTCATGTCAATCCTAGTTAAATTGGGAGAGAATGGAAGAGCAGGTCAATGAGCTATTACTTGACCATTTCCTTCCATGGAAAAAAAAATCCAAGATGAGCAACAAAATAATTCATAGTTGAAGTTCCATGATCCTATCTATGATTTGGAAGATCAAGTTCCATTCTAGCTCTAAAATTAATGTGGTTTTCATCACTCAGGGAAAAGTTTATTTCAGTGAAGGAAGACTTCATGCTGTTGGCAGTAGGAATCATTGCAGCAAGTGCTTTCATCCAAAGCCATGAGTGTTGGAGCCAGGTAGGGACCACTGAGCAGGATCAGTATGGTGAGAATTCATTTAACAGAACACATTTCACCCATCAGAAAACTGAAAACAACCTAAAGTGCCAAGACCCAGGATTAGGATGAGTATGCAAGATATGAGGGGAAAATCTGGGCTAGGACTGAAATGGTTCCTTGTTTTCTTTTTATAAAACTAGAAATGGAGGCCCAAGTTCAACTTGTTCATTTCTCTTTATAATCATAACCTGCTATTATGTTAAAGTCCAGGCTGGGCATGGTGGCTCACGCCTGTAATCCCAGCATTTTGGGAGGCCAAGGTGGGAGGAGTTTGAGCCCAGGAGTTCAAGACTGCCTGTTCAACATAGCAAGACCCTGTCACTACAAAAATTAAAAATTAGTCAGGGCTGGGTACAGTGGCTCATGCCTATATCCCAGCACTCTGGGAGGCCGAGGCAGGTGGATTACCTGAGCTCAGGAGTTGAAGACCAGCCTGTGCAACATGGCAGAACTCAGTCTTTACCAAAAAATTTTAAAAAATTAGCTGTGTGTGGTGGCACATGCCTATGGTCCCAGCTACTCAGGAGGCTGAGGTAGAAGGATCACTTGAGCCTGGCAGGTGGAGGCTGCAATGAGTCAAGATTGTACCACTGCACTCCAACCAGGGTGACAGAGTGAGATCCTGTCTCAAAAAAAAAAAAAAAAAAAAAAAAAATTAGCAGGGCATGGCAGTACACACCTCTAGTCCCAAATTACTTGGATTATTTGGGAGGCTGAGATGGGAGGATGACTTGAGCCCAGGAGCTGGAGGCTGCACTGAGCCATGATTGTGACACTGTACTCCAGCCTGGGTGACAGAGTGAAACCGTCTCAAAAAAAAAAAAAGAGGCCGGGCAGAGCAGTTCACACCTATAACTCTAGCATTTTGGAAGGCTGAGGCAGGAGGACTGTTTCAGCCCAGGAATTGGAGACCAGCCTGGGCAACATAGTGAGACCTCATCTCTATAAAAAATAAAAAAAATTAGCTGGACATGGTGGCTTGTGCCTATAGTCCCAGCTACTCAGGAGACTGAAGTGGGAGGATCATTTAAGCCCTGGAGGCAGAGGTTGCAGTGAGCCAAAAATCACACCGCTGCACTGCAGCCTGGGCAAGAGTGAGACCCTGTTTCAACACAAAACAAAATCCAATAACTATATCTCCCAAATAATGAAAATGTCAAGGCCCAAATATCGGTCTTATATTTCACAAAACTTATCTCCAGCAGAGGGAAATGTCTAGCAGAAAGTTTCCATGCTAACATTATCAGGGCAAACGTATCCTAACGTAATCTGGCCATTGGCAAACACTAGAATCTGGATTTTAGAAAAATGAAAACTTACAATTGCCTTGAGAGAACATCCCAAGTAATGTGTGTGTTTGTGAACTAAAATATGTTGAGATGTTTTACTAATAAGAAATCTGTCTCTATTTCTGAAGGTTGTAGAGCATTTGCAGAGCATCACTGGTATTGCCTTGGCAAGCATTGCTGAGTTCTCTTATGCAATCCTGACTCACAGCGTGGGAGCCAACACTCCAGGGCGACAGCAGTCTATTCCTCCCCACCTGGCAGCCAGAGCTCTGAAGACTGTTGCTTCCTGTAACACATGAAGCAGGCTGAATCCACCAAATACAAACAGCCTTCCATCACTGCACTCATGCCTCCCTCTGTTTACTTTCATACTCAGGGTACAAAAGTTCCAAGTCTCTCTTCAACTGTATTTTTATGCCAATTTCATGCTTATTTTTTCTTTATCAGAAAGAGTTAAGGCGGATGAACATGCCCTTTTTGTCCTATCAGCCTGACAATAAAAAGCTAGGTGGAGAGAGATTAATAAAGTTGGTTCATTTTGTTTAACAAGATATTTATACTTTTAATTTCATTAAGAGGAACATCAGGCATGGAGATTAGTATTAATCAGGGACTTACAGACTATCTGGGTGACCTTGACTAAGCATCAAGGAGGTAGACTTTATTTCCCCTTAAAATTAGTTTAACATCTCTGTTCCATTATTGAGATCTACACAAACAGGGCTTCCTCAACAGCTATCTATTTGTACTAGAGTTTTTAAAAACTAACTCTAAGCATGTTTAAGCAGAATTTCCACATACCTGCATTAGAACTCAATTCTCCCGGAATACAAAGTACTCTATTTTAAAGAAAAACCCAACAGTGTACCTCTGGGCAGTTTTCAGACTGTAGCAGATCTTTTATTACAAATAATTAAATCTCTCCATAATGTCTCAAACAGTATCAAACACCATTTCATATCTCTAACACAGAGCAGAGTCGGCATTCAGTTTGAGAACCCAGTGAGAAGTGTTAAATTTCAAGCGTCTGATCACATCACATGGTGACCAGCTAAAGCTTGGATGTCATTTTCCCACATTATCCAACTGTGCATCTCAAACATATCCTCGTCTCAGTAGAGACAAAAGTTTCTGTTTCATATTGTTAAGTGCAGGAAGCTGAGAGATAAAATCCAGTGAAAACACATCAATCTCAATTCAACTCAGTTTTTCAAAAAAAAAAGCAAATTTAAATTAGTTGTTTTTAGGGAATAAGGGGAAAGGAGTCCATGGCGTTAAGAGTCAAAACTATGACAAGGGCTGGCAGCTATACATGGCATTTTGTAGGTCTGGAAACTATCTGTCCCATGATATTTTAAAATAAAGTGGCTTTTGTGGATTTTTTCTTTTTTGGTATTGTAAACATGTGCTGTTTAATATTACCCGAATTTAATTTAAAACATGTTTGCAAACAAAATTTAAAGCCTTTAAGGCAAACCTCTCTCTAAGGAAAAAAGTCATTTGTTATAAAATTGTGAGGATACCCAAGCAAGACCCCACTTAAGATTCGTCAGCATGAACTTGAGAGCTTTTGTCCACTGCTCCTCAGAGTTAAACTGGGTTTTGATGGAATAGGAGCCGCCGCTGCCTCCTGTGTCTTCAATCTTGCCTTTCTCCACATCCATCCTGCAGATGGACACAGCAGAACTCATTAGTAACTGAGATCTGAGTTAAGTCAGTTCAGGGCAGGGACTTGATCATGAGACTATTCACGTCATTTTATCTATTAAAGAACACTTGGTGAGGAATGGTAGTGTATTTTGGAATTGCTTGAAAGCCAAAAATCAAGAAGACTGTCACAAGAGCCTCATTGTCATTGTAGAGTACAGGGACAGGACACACACCCAAACAGAAGAGAAGCCTGGAGCAGGGGCGTGTGAGGGTTACAGTACTTCTTGCTGTTTTCCTAGGCATCCCTGAACTTGGCAGGGGAGAAAGGAGGCAGAAGAAAAGAAATGCTTTGTTTTGGGATGATAGAAGCAGCCTTACTCTAGGTAAAAACTAGAGTTTCCATCCATCACTAGGATCCTAAAAAAATTGACCAAAAGAAGCATTCCTGTATATTTCCAAGGGTTTCAGGGAAAAACCTTCTTGAAACTGGAAAGCAGACTTGAGCTCTGTGCCAAGAAAACCCCCTAAACCAGCTAAGGCAACATCCTTCTACTCCAGAGACTAGGTGGTCACATTCTGTCCTGCTTGCAGTATTGGATCAGTCTTTGCCCATCCTTTTTTGTGATTCTTTTTTGCTTTCCCACCATTTATACTGTTTTGCCTCCATTCTTACTGCTGCTTCAATTCTGTTCAATTTGGTCCTATACAGGTTCACTCAGCACTGGGGTATACTGACCTGTAGGGAAGACAAAAACGTGTCTCGCCTTTCTCAACCTCTTCTTTGAACTGTTGCACACAGTCCAGGAAAGCCACCATTGCATGGTCAAACTTGTTGTCCCAGAAAAACCGCAACCCCCCAGAACAGTATAACGGCAGCTCCTGCCCAAGAAGAGAAAACTGGCTATGCATATGGCACCAAGACAGGCTTCCAGAGACTGTTCCCAATCCTATCAACCTCTCAAGTCATGTTCTGTCTGTATCCCACTGGAAATTTATATTGTGGCTAGACTCTTATCTTCCATAGATTTGAACAACTACAATAACCTTGGGCAAATAACAATGCACTTAGAACTGTCTCACTGTCAGTGAAAATGTACCATAAGTTGAGCATCCCTAATCCAAAATGCTAAAAAATCTTTCCAGAAGAGTAGATGGGAAAAGAAAAATAAATTAAAAATGCTACAAAACCTGAAACTTTTTGAGCATCAATATGATGCCACAAGTGGAAAATTCCACAAATTCCATACCTGACACCTTTGCTGATGATTCAATGTATCACGAAACACAAGCTTTGTTTCATGCACAAAATTATTTAAAATATTGTATAAAATTGCCTTCAGACTACATGTATCAAGTATATATAAAACATAGAGGCCAGGCATGGTGGCAAATGCCTGTTATCCTAGCACTTTGGGAGGCCGAGGTGGGTGGATCACCTGAGGTCAGGAATTCGAGACCAGCCTGGTCCAACATGGTAAAACCCCATCTCTACTAAAAATACAAAAATTAACCAGGTGTGGTGGCGGGTGCCTGTAGTCCCAGCTACTCAGGAGACTGAGACAGGAGAATTGCTTGAATCTGGGAGGTGGAGATTACAGTGAGCCAAGATCATGCCATTATACTTCAGCCTGGGCAACAGAGAAAGACTGTCTCCAAAAAAAAAAGGTAAGAAAGAAAAGAAAATGGGAAAATGAATTTTGTGTTCAGACTTGGGTCCCATTCCCAAGATATCTTAGTATATATACACAAATATCCCAAAATCTGAAAAAAATCCAAAATCTAAAACACTTCTGGTCCCAAACATTTTGAGCAAGGGATACTCACCCTGTAAATATCTCATGGTGATATTCTTTTCCTATGCTAGTGTACACACCCTCCTCTGACCTGCCCATATCCCTTCTCAACAGACTATCAAAACCTAATTTTCCTCTACAAGACCCCCAAAACTAAACCTGCACTAGACAAGATATTGAACAATACACTGGCTTTTCATATATCTCAGTCTAAAAAAGAAACTGAAATGACAATGTCAAAGCAAACCTTTGTTAACAGATACAAGAACTCTGTATTCCAGTGAAAATGGAACTTCACAGAGTACCTTAGATTTGTCTGTCAGAGACTCCAGATATGAATGGTTTCCATAAGGAACAAGTCGATACCTAAAACAGAGATACAGACAGAGATGGATACAGAACTCCTAAAGAGATTACTGGGAAGTTATAGCCCAACGATTTCACTCTTCATTCTAGCCAAGGGCTTCTTTTATTCTCAACTCCCTCTCCCACCTCCCCACTGGATCCATGATTAAAATATTTTGTTTACTGAACAAACTACCTTTATTATATAATTGCCTGGGGGGCCTTCCGTGGACAAATGTTATATTTTGGTTTAGATTAAAGAAACAAAATCTGAATATCCTAAGGAACTCTAAGGTTCTGGGGCCTGTAGGCTGGGAACTACACTATGGTCATGCAACTCAGTGACTGTCTTCAGTGGAAAGAGCCTGTGATGAGGGGAAAACCAGATGCTGACAGCTCTCCAACCACAGAAAACTCCCTGTCTGTGGGCAGCAAGGGGTCCTGACATGGTGGAGAGCAATACCAGTGGAAATACAGATTATATCAAAGACACACCACTCCCCAAGAAAGGGCTACACTTCCTACCTCTGAAATTTCAGACCCATCTTATTGGCCAGAGCATGGAGCAGCAACACAGTTTGGCCCCAAGCAGCATTAATCTCATTCCATTCCACTGGAACACTGGGCAGGCGACCCAGCCTGAAGTTATTGATTGTGCCAAACTGTCCACTGTGCCTACAGAGGAAGGCAGAAAGGTGGGGAGAAATACAGGGATTACTTCAAACTTTTGAGATTGCCTGCTCTCACCCCAAACCCAGCTTAAATCTATCTTCAAGTTTATATACGCAAGCTGTACTTGGCACTTTAAATACATGTCCAAAACTTGTGTCATCATCTTTTCCCCTGCTGCTCATATGCCGAAGCAGAAAGCTGGGTGGTATCCTTCAATGCTCTCTCAGCTCCTTCCCTGTAAAACTGCAGAACTCTCCTGATTCTACCTGCTAAATCTCTTAGATCTGTCCACTCTTCTCCAAATTCAATGCTACTGCTCTTTCCCCTTAGATTCCTAATGACAAGTATCCTTACCAATGATTCCACCCCTTTATCCCAAGTCATTCCCCACGCTGCAGGTAAAGCCATCATTCACAAGTACAAGTGAAATTATGTCACTTCCCTAGCTAAAATGCTTCAGTGTCTCCTACTGCCTTTTGGATCAATTCCAAACCTCTTAAGGCCTATGAGACCCTTCAGGAACTGGTAAATCTCCAGTTTCATATTCGGTCACTCTCCCCTTTACACTCAATCTTCAGTCACAATAAGCTCCTTTTAGTTCTCTGAATTTACCACTCCCTCTTTCCTGTTTCTTTGCACATGATGTTCTCTCTGCTAGGAACAACCCCCTCTTTGCAGACTTCTACTTTACCTCTCAGTTTAAACGTGAGTCTGCTATGGGGAAATTCTCCATGTGGCCTCCCCAAATTGGATCAAGTGCCCTTATGTGTTCCCACAGCACCCTGGGTTTACCATCATCACACTGCATTACAACCGCTTGTTATTTACCCATCCCTTCCACCAGATTATAACCAACTAGAAGGCTGACTGCATACTGTTTTGCTATTCTCCTCCTAGCACTTAGTACAGTGTCTACTGCAGAGTAGATGCTCAACAGTTATTAGTTAAATTGATAAACATCAAATACCCCGGGACAAATCAGTACCAGGCAGCTGACCAGGTTTTAAGTGGCTGAAGGCCTCAGGCCTTTCCCTTTCCTTAGAAGGGTGTACGTCACCAAGCTCTACAATTCCAATCCCTACCGTGCCTATCCCATCACAATGAATGAAAGAAACCTAGCTGGGTGAAGATAACCTACAGTCCCTCTTTTGTAGGAAGTAGGCACCCAGTTTTAGTGGACAACAGTTAAGGTCCAGATATGTGCAGTGCTCCTCATCCCCCAGATCTCATTACCAGATGTGGAAAGTTGCATTAAAAACGTTGGTTTTCTTCAGCTTGTCCAGCTGCAACTGGGCATAACGCATCTGGTTTTCAACACTCTTCAGCTCATCATCCAGCTCCAGCTGTTGTCGTTTAAATTCACTGTATTCTCTCTGATACCTGTGAGCAGCCAACGGGACCACTGAAGGCTATTAGTTTGGGGGCTGAAGTTTCTCTCTCACCACACTACGAACAATTATTTAGTAATCAGTTACATCTAGCTCTAGCATCTTTTACATTTGGCACAGATTCCACTCAGAGGAACATCTGTGTCCTAGCTGTGTTGCCTGGGAGGAACAGAAATGTCTCACATTCCAGCTGCCCACACGCAAAAAGGTGGAAGAAAAAATAATTCTTCCAAACCAGGCCAAAAAAAACCTCTTGCTATTTCTGATCTTTTTCAAAAGAGACGTAAATGGGTTAAGAGTGGCATCTTCCAAGGCCGGGCGCAGTGGCTCACATCTATAATCCCAGCACTTTGGGAGGCCGAGGCGGGTGGATCACGAGGTCAAGAGATCAAGAACATCCTGGTCAACAAGGTGAAACCCCGTCTCTACTAAAGATACAAAAATTAAGCTGGGCATGGTGGTGCGCGCCTGTAGTCCCAGCTACTCGGGAGGCTGAGGCAGGAGAATTGCTTGAACCCAGAAGGAGGAGGTTGCAGTGAGCCGAGATTGCGCCATTGCACTCCAGTCTGGGTAACAAGAGCGAAACTCCGTCTCAAAAGAAAAAAGAGTGGCATCTTCCAGCTGGGCATGGTGGCTCACGCCTGTAATCACAAGACTTTGGGGGGGCTGAGGCAGATGGACCACTTGAGCTCAAGAGTTCAAGACCAGCCATGGGGAAACCCTGTCTCTACAAAAAATACAAAAATTAGCCAGGTATGGGTGGTGCACACCTATAGTTCCAGCCACTTGGGAGGCTGAGGCAGGAGTATTGCTTGAGTGGAGGAGGTCGAGGCTGCAGTGAGTCATGACTACACAACTGCACTCAGCCTGGATGACAGAGCTAAGACTCTGTTTCTATTATAAAAAAAAAAGAGTGGCTTCTTCCATGAACTGGCCATAATTGGCCTTCTAAAGTTTCACTTCTATATACTTACTGTCCTTCAAATAGTTAGTATACCCCACTTCCAGTGAAACTTGTTAATACTACTGTATGAAAAAACAGACATTTTTGTCCTTCATTTCCACAACTTTAGTTAGTATGGACACTGTGTCTCCTCCACTAGACAGAGGGTTCTCTCAGGTCAAGAACATCCATAATTTATTTTATGAGACAGGGTCTCACTCTGCTGCCCAAGGTGGAGTGCAGTGGTATGATCACAGCACACTGTAACCTTGAACTCCAGGGCTCAAGTGACCCCGCACTTCAGCCTCCTGAGTAGTTGCTAGGAGTACAGGTCCACCACACCAGCCTAATTTTTTAAAATTTTTATTTTTGTAGAGATGAAGGTTTCACTATGTTGCCCCAGATGGTCTTAAACTTCTGGCCTTAAGTGATCCTCCTGCCTCAGCCTCCCAAAGTGCTATAATTACAGATGTGAGCCACCACACCCACCCCCCCACCACCCGTGAAATTTTTAAGCTTGGAGGGAACAAATGTAGGCAAATTTGCTCATCTTTTCAGATAAGGATAGCTAGAAAGTGGCTGATTCATCCAAATGAGCCCATTCCCTACAGGACAGAGCCAAGACAGCTCTGGTTTCTGCACTCTCTATTTAACCAACATCCTTTTTTTCACTTAATCATGCTGACTCCTCATACGTAACTCTCCTAACAAACCTCTAGAAACAGGGCATGGAAGCAATATGCAGGATCTGGAGCAGACATGCTGCTGACTGACAGTTGACTATAGTTTACAAACTAATCAGACACATTCTGCTGGAAGCCATTTCCTCTCCTGGAGCCTTGAGTGTGAGAAGATAGAACAGGGTAAGCACTCACTGAGCTTCCTCCTGATCCAGTCTCTCAGCCTCAGCCTGGACCTTCTCAAGATTTTCTGCCACCATCTGGCGGTTCTTTTCCACATCTTCCAGCTCCTGGATCAGCCTCTCCTCCTCTAGTGCCAGCTCTTTTAGCTCCATCTGAAGCTGTTCACTGTCATCTTCATTCATTTGCTCTAAGATCTCCAAACAGCGTCTGCCAAAGACACAGGCAGAGTATACTCACTAGAGTTCCATTTGGAGTAGAGCTCTTGGGTAAGGGCCAAGCAGTCCCTGAGCAGTAACAGCTCTGAGCCCTGGCTCTGGAGGCACTCACTTGTAGTTCTGACATTCATTTTCAGTGACGTTGAGCTGAGTGTCCAGCTGGTCTAAAAGAGTATCTGTGCATTCCTCACAGAGTGGGTGATCCACATCTGTCTGGCCCGACATGATGTCAAAAAGGTCCCCAGTGACCTGGAAGTGTGGGAGAGTCAAGGTAGGGCCTCCCCCATGCTACCTGCTCAATCACCCACTCTCCCAGCCAGGCCTACTGCTTGCCACTGGAATGGGGCCGACTTGCCTTCAGTCTTCGGCTGAGGTTCTCCATGGTGCCGCCATCAGATGCCTCCCCAATCAGAGTGAAGCTGTTGGCGCTTTCTGTGGACATCATCCTGCAGATAGCCCCCCGCCCACGGGCCACATGAGGGAGCAGAGAGGCTTCCTCCACCTACTGCAATGCCAGTGGCAGAGACTCTCAAGCACCAGCTGAGGGGCCTCAGGGCACATACCCACTCCTAGCCCGACTGACCTCCCAAGGGTACCTCTCTCCCAAAGGAAGGCCATGCTGGTCTTCCACAGGGACACTCAGCACGAAGGTAGGCCTGGATGGACTAAGAAGGGAGAGGGGGCATAAAAAAATTGGTATGTGTATGACTACAATGGAAAAGAAGGGAGAATCAGGAAAGGCCATTTTAAAAAACATTAACCCCTTATTTAAAAATAACCTCTTGCCAGCAACCTCTTTACCTGCAGATATGAGAACTAGGACTTGCACATCTAACAACACTTGCTATTTTGAAACTTCTCAAGAGCCCATGTCTTTTATTAGTGATTAATCACTCCCTCAATTTTTCTCAATACTTTGTCATTAGATCTACTATCTTTCCCATTGTGTGAATGGCTACAGGAAAAAATCCATACTGGACTGGGTGATGGGCCAGGTATAGGGAATACATTTTTTCCGAAAGGGCCAAAAGGCTAGGTGAGGATGCATATCCATCACCTGGCTCCAGGTCTTGATTCCTGGATTTAATTAAAATTCTACTAGCCTTTGGCAAGGAATAGGGAGCTGAGAAGTAGTAGGCACCTGGCTGGGGGGATGAATCTGCGAGAGACACCATCCTGGCGAGGAGTTTCAATAAATGGCTCCTGGGAAAGAAATGAGAGCATTAGAATTCTGGCAGCTTAGAAGTAGAGTTCACTTCCCCAAACAGCCTGAGAACTATATAGCTGTAGTTTTGATTGATAACCACAAGATCTGATAAACCACACAGACTTAAAAAATGGGTATTATTGAGGCAATCCTTATATATGTGCGCTAAGAAAGAACCCATGATACAGAAAAACCTCAAGTCCCATTTGATTTTTGTGGGGAACAGCATTTCCTAACTATGTTATATTCTGTTCATGGTTACCCTTGCATTTCTCAACACTTACCAGTCAAGGGTAGGAGACAGAATGCCCTAAATCATAGTACAAGGAAAAAGCCAGATCAGATGGCAATGAAGTCTGTCACAGTACAAAGTAGATCATTTATATGTTTTCAATATTTTAAGACTATTTGTATGTGATCAAAAATCTTACGACATCTATTGACTTCAAATCCAGACCCCTTTGCTGCTTCGTTTAAGGCTTTCTCTGGCTCCTGGACTCTTCACTGCCTGCAGGGGGCACTGGCCAGAATTAATAACCCCTACTCAACCTGACATCAGCCCTCCCCCAGTGACTGGCAGCAGCGGGTAAATAAATACTCCGGCTCCCTTGCTACCGGAGGAGAAGAAATCTCAGGTGTGTATTCAACACTATCTCACAGGATGTTGCTCCACAGGATCACTGATATTATCACAGTTTAAAACGACATCTTCTCTAACACTGACAATTCTTTCTGTCCAGGGTAATATACAAGTCGCTGTCCTAACCAGGATGCTTTTGAAATGGAGAGGAGTGGATATTAACAACTAGCTAGAACAACAGATGCAAATCAATGCTCTGGAATGACCTGGACACACAGGTCATCCCATCTCCAACCTATAATAATTTATAATTCTGCTTCAAATAAAAAGCCCTTCCCAACGTTTTTAAATGGCTCATTCAGTAACCCTGTGACCTCAGGTGCAGGCCTGTATCTCCAATGATGCAGAGCAGCCTGATCATGTAGAATGACTTGTTACCCAGAGACCCCAGAAGTCTGCGGGCTCTTCAAGCACCAAGCAGCCTGCAGAAACAAAGACTGCATTCCTGTGCTTTCATATCAAATCTCCCATTTGGAATGTTTACTACATGAGGATAGGAGAGAGGGCACTTCTATTACCTCTCCTGAGTTAGTCTCTTCCTCCTGGGTCTCTCCTGGTTTCGCCTGGGCTGTGGTAAGTAATGGAGCTAAGGGCAAGGAAAACAGTGGGTCAGAAACAGTCTTATTAAAGCAGGAGGGCATCTGAAACTACGGGAAAAGAATGTGAAATATCCTCATCACCACCCTCACCTCCAATTTTTCTTAAAGTACCATTTACACAAAAAAGAATCTGTGGTCTTCCTCACCCCCATTAAATCAGATTATGGAAATGTTCAATTTTTTTAAGGCATAATGGTAATATGATTATTTTAAAGAATCCTTATCTGTCAAAAATACAGAAATATTTACAATATTTATGTTTTGGATTTGCTTCAAAACAATTCAGGGTGGGAAGAAATGGATGGGGCCATACACAAAGCATGATTAAATATGTGTTGATAATTGTTGCAACTAGGTGACAGTATACACAGGTTAATGATATACTCTAAAATTTTCCATCCCAAAAGTTAACATCCTGTTTCCCCCAGAATAGCAGGGAGGGAACACGAGGAAATCCTCTGGGAAGGTGAAACATTGCTAAATTGCAATCATTCAGATTACATGAGTGTATCCACTTGTCAAAAATATACAGCTAAGATTTCAAGGCAAGACAATTTACCTTTCTAAAAAAGTGTGAAAACCATAATAATTGAGCGGGGGATGGGAGGTGAGTCGAAGTGTAAACATGTCAGCATGTGGATGGTTGTTGAAGCTGGGTGATGGATACAAGGGAGGCTACTATGCTATTTTCTTGACTATATATGTCCATAATAAAATATTTCCATAATAAAGTCAAAAATTGTTATTAAGAGTTAATTTTCCCTCAAAAAAGAGAAACTGGGTAATAGCAGCTAACGTTTATTGCGTACTATTTGCCCAGCATATTCCTAAGTGTTTCTGTGGTTTGTCATATTTGAATCTTATAAATTCTTTATGAGGCAGTTTAACATTTTACAGAAAAATCAGAAACTGAGGCTTGGAGATATGAAGTAACTTGCAAAAAGTCATTCAGCTTGTAAATGACAGCCAGGATTTAAACCCAAGTGAGCTGACCTCAGGCCCATAAGCTTATGTAAGCTGCGTATTCAGTCTTTCCTTTTACTGCCTGACTTAATTTGAATTCTTCTGACTTTGCCGGGTTTGGGGTTTTTGGTTTTGTTTTTTTTTAATTTTTTAAATTATAGAGACAGGGTCTTACTGTGTTGCTCAGGCTGGTCTTGAACTCCTGGGCTCAAGTGATCCACCCAGCTCAGCCTCCCAAAAGTGCTGGGATTACAGGTGTGAACCACCACCCCGGCCTTTTTTTTTTTTTTGAAACAGGGTCTTCCTCTGTGGTCCAAGCTACAGTGCATGCAGTGAGTATCATCATAGCTCACTGCAGTTTTGACCTCCTGGGCTCAAGTGATCCTCCTGCCTCAGACTCCTGAGTAGCTGAGACTACAGGTGTGCACCACCACACCTGGCAATTAAAAAAAAAAATTTTAGAGACAAGATCTCGCTAGGTTGCTCAGATTGGTCTTGAACTCCTGAGTTTAAGCAATCCTCCTGCCTCGGCCTCCCAAAGCACTGAGATTACAGGCATGAACCACCACGCCCAGTAAATTCTTCAGACTTTAAGACTCTACTCCTCCATTTACCAGCTGTTGGATCTTAGGTAAGTCACTTAACCTCTCTGTGCCTCAATTCTTCATCTGTAAAATGATGTAATGACGGTATACTCCATAGGGGTTGTTACAGGGACTAAATGAAGTAATACACGTAAAACACTTGGTATTCGTATATGGTAAGTCCTCAACAAATACCATTATTATATATACATATTCATTTTCTCTGAAACAGCAGGAGCAGAAAATAAAGACGTTTCTTTTGCTACGGAAAGCTCTCAGAAGCCCACAGTGTCAGAATGCTTTACATTCCCGAGGAGAAAACAGGGAGCCAGAGAGACGAAGTCTTTCTTAGGTTCACACGATGAGTTTGTGGCAGACTACAGCCACCATTAAGAACTGTATCACCAAAGCTGCCCACCTTCCACATTCTTGACCACCCTCTTTCCAAGGGTCTCGCTGACCTGTGAGTTCCTGGATGGTGACACGATCCAGGATCTTGAAACTCGTGTCCAGTTTCAGGGGCTGGCTGCAGCGCTGGCACACGAAGCTCACCTGCATGGTGCTGTTGTTGGACGTCTTAGACCCTTCCATCCCTGCGGCGGTGGAAAACAGGCAACATTAGGAATAATCGACGCCCCTGAACTTCCGGCCCGGGGTTACCACCTGCCTTGGTGACGATGGTAAAGGAAGGGAAGTCCCAGCCTGCGCCGTTCCCTCTAGGAATGGTATGATACGAGGCGGACCTGCTTCCGGGGCAGCCTGAGCTCCAGGCAGTTTAGAGACCAGCGTCAGGGAAGGGACTCCAATAAGAGCCGCGAGGGTTCCCAGACTCCCTTCTAAGGTCCCACTTCAGCCCTCGACGCTCTTCACCTCGGGACCCCGGAGCCCGTCACCCAAGTCCGGTCTACCGCGGGGGCACTGTGGCCTCGGGTCGGCCCCGGAGCGAGGCCCCCAGAAGTGCCATCGCTCTATCTTCAGCGACTTCCCGGTCCGCCGGCGGAAAACTTCCGCCCGAGACCGGACGTGACGTCACGGCGGCAGCAGGCAGTCCTGGTCCACAGGCTCACAGGCCCGCCAGCGGCCCCCAGAGGCCGGACTGGGAAAAGCAGTGGGCTTCAGGGGGTGACTAAGGTTGCGAAGGAAGTGTAGGCGCCAAGTCCGGAAAGAATGGGGAGGCTCCGCTAGTTTTCTGTATTCAAGGGGCGCCGGGCGCGGTGGCTCACGCTTGTAATCCCAGAACTTTGGGAGGCCGAGGAGGGTGGATCAACTGAGGTCAGGAGTTCAAGACCAGCCTGCCCAAAATAGTGAAACCCTGTCTTTATCAAAAATTTAAAAATTAGCCAGGTGTGGTGGTGTGCACCTACTCGGGAGGCCAAGGCAGAAGAATCGCTTAAACCCAGGAGGCAGAGGTTGTGGTGAGCCGAGATCTGGCCACTGCACTCCAGCCAGAGCAAGACTCCATCTCAAAACAAACAAACAAAAAAGAAAATGTTATTCAAATAAAGGCTTGAAGAAGGGGAGGAAGGAATTCTTGCATACATCTGAAGGAAGCTTATTCTAGGCCTAGGGAACAGCAAGAACACAGAGGGTGTCTGTTTGGGGATTAGCAGAAACTGGTGTGGCTAGGAGATGGGCAAGGAAAAGAGATACAGAAAATGAGGTGAGGGAGGTAAGGGTGCTGAGCCATCTACCACCTAGGCTCTCATAGGGATTGTGAAGCTCTGGCTCTCACTTTGAATGAGATGAGATGAGATGGCTGGGTCTTGAACACAGGGACTTGTTTCATTTTTAAAAACAACTTTATTGGGTATAATTTACATACCATAAGACTCACACTTTTAAAATCTACAGTTCAATGAATTTTAGTACATTTACAGAGTTGCACAACTATCACCCTAATCCAATTTTAGAACATTTCCTATCTCCCCTTGCAATCCCCCACTTTGGCCTCCCAAAGTGCTGAGATTACAGGTGTGAGTAAATGTGCCCAGCCAAAAGTGTTTCATTGCAATAAAGTCCAATGTTTGTACTTTTGGTATAAAAGAAACCATTACCTAACCCAAAATCATATGCAGTGTTGTCTATTTCATTTTTATTTTGAGACAATGTCTTACTCTGTCACCCAGGCTGGAGTGAAGCAGAATGAACAAACACGGTTTACTGCAGCTTTGACTTCCTGGCTCAAGCAATCCTCTTGCTTCAACCTCCCATGCATCAGGGACCACAGGTGGTCAACACCATGCCCAGCTAATTTTTGCATTTTTTGCACAGATGTGGTCTCACTTTGTTGCCCAGTCTTCTGCTTTTTAAATTTAACATTTTTCTATGTTGATACACAGTTTTTTTAGTTATCATGGCTACTAAATAAATGTTATTCATTTAGTGTAGGATACTACACTAAATGTACTACTCGAGTGTATTTTTTTACTGCTGGAAATTCTGTTTCCCCTTTGGGTGATTACAATGCTGCTGCAATGATGAGCTACTTACTTATAACTGGGATTACAGAATTAACTGTGTCAGCTATTTAATATCTCTTGCTTAACACTGGGAATTATTTTCCTAAGTGTTTGCACATAATCATATTCTGGCCCCAGTAATGTATGAGGAAGCCTGTTTCATAATGCCTTGGCCAGTATTGGGTATCATATAGTTGGGGAACAAAAGCAAAAAATGGCACTTCCTTGTTATTTTATTTTATTTTATTTTTGAGACGGAGTCTCACTCTGTTGCCATACTGGAGTGCAATGGTGTGATCTCGGCTCCCTGCAACCTCCGCCTCATGGGTTCAAGTGATTCTCGTGCCTCAGCCTCCTGAGTAGCTGGGACTACAGGCACACGCCACCACACCCAGCTAATTTGTGTATTTTTAGTAGTGACAGGGTTTCACCATGTTGGCCAGGATGGTCTCAATCTCTTGACCTGGTGATCTGCCTGCCTCGGCCTCCCAAAGTGCTGGGATTATAGGCGTGAGCCACTGCACTGGGCCCCCCTGTTATTTTAATTAGCATCATTGATTACTGGTGAGGCTGAACTTTTTGCCATATATTTGTTTATTGTAGTTACTTTTTTTTTTTTTTTTTTTTTAAGAGAGAGACAGGGTCTCACTGTCACTCAGGCTGGAGTGCAGTGGTGCAGTCTTGGCTCACTGGAACCTCTGCCTCCCGGGCTCAAGCAGTAGTTATTTTTTAATGAATTATGTTTGCCTTCTTTGATTATTTAGCTATTGGATTCTTAGTATTTTTCTCAATTTTTTTTTTTTGAGATGAGGTTTTGCTCTTGTAGCCCAGGCTAGAGTGCCCACCACATGCCCAGCTAATTTTTTTGTATTTTTAGTAGAGATGGCGTTTCACTATGTTGGCCAGACTGGTCTCGAACTGCTGACCTCAGGTGATCCACCAGCCTCAGCTTCCCAAAGTGTTGGGATGACAGGTGTGAGCCATTGCGCCCAGTTTTTCTCAATATTTTTAGTAATTTTTTATGTATGCTTTAACATTTTTTCCAGATGTTCAAACAGTTCTAAAGTTTCAAGTCAAATTTGCTTATTTTTCTTGATGTATATTGCTTAGAAAGTTATTCCCACTTCCAGAAATGTGTTTCTTTTCTTTTCTTTTTTTTGAGACGAAGTTTTGCTCTTGTTACCCAGGCTAGAGTGCAATGGCACGATCTCAGCTGACCACAACCTCCGCCTCCTGGGTTCAGGCAATTCTCCTGCCTCAGCCTACCGAGTAGCTGAGATTACAGGCATGCGCCACTAAACCCAGCTAATTTTTTGTATTTTTAGTAGAGACGGGGTTTCACCATGTTGACCAGGATGGTCTCGATCTCTTGACCTCGTGATCCACCCGCCTCAGCCTCCCAAAGTGCTGGGATTACAGGCTTGAGCCACCGCGCTCGGCCAATAGTATATATTATAAAGTGTAGTGTGATAAATAAACAGAGGGCAATGCCTGGCACATTGTAAATGCTGTGTGTGCCCTCCCACTTGGGACATATACATAGTCATTGCATGTAGTGCTTAAGGAATTGTGAATAATCAACAACATATCCTAAATCATCAATTCAACAGATGTTTATTGAGGATCTATTATGTGTCAGTCCCTATTCTAGGTCTGAGAGGATATACTGGTGAGCTGTTCTAATAGTTTACATTCTAGAGGAGAGAATTTGACAATAAACATGTAGCCAATGTTTGGTTAATAATTTCAAATAATGGCAGATGCTATGGGTTGAATTGTGTTCCCCAAAAGATATTGAAGTTGGGAAGTCAGATTAGAGTGGACTGAAGTAAATGGGGCATGAGTGCCTGTGAATGTGACCTTTTAGGGAAATAGGATTGTTGCAGATGAGGTCTTTAATGTTAGCCCTAGACCAATATGACTGTGTCCTTATAAATAGAGGCAATCTGGACGCAGAGAAAGACATGTACTGCGTCTGACAGAAGATGATGTAAAGAGACACAGGGTCATCTCTAAGCCAAGGAAGACCTGAGGCTATCAGAAACCAGGAGAGAGGTCTAGAACAGATTCTTCTCTGACTCCTTTAGAAGGAATGTCAACCCGCTGACACGTTAATGTTGAACATCCAGAACTCTGAGACAATATATTTCTCTGGTTCTAAGCCACCCACTTTGTGGTACTTTGCTACAGCAGCCCTAGAAAACTAATACAGTAGGTAAGAGGATGATGTGATAGAGAATAAGTTGGGGTAGGGTGGGAGGAGCTACTTCCACTGGGGGATTCAGGAACGCCTCTGTTATCTGGAAACCATTGAGGGTGATAAGTAGGGAAGAGACATGACTGGTTCACTTAAAAAAGAAAAACTATTTACTGGAAGATAGAATATGGATAGAATATATAGGGGAAAGGACAGAAATCATAAGTGTATTTCCAATGAATTTTTTTTTTGGTAGAGTCGTGCTTCGTTGTCCAAGCTGGAGGGCAGTGGCACAATCTTGGCTCACTGTAACCTCCACCTCCCAGGTTCAAGCAATTCTCCTGCCTCACCATCCTGAGGAGCTGGGACTACAGGCACATGCTACTACACCTGGCTAATTTTTTGTAGTTTTGGTAGAGGGGTTTCATCGTGTTAGCCATGAGGGTCTCCATCTCCTGATCTCATGATCCACCCACCTCAGCCTCCCAAAGTGTTGGGATTATAGGCATAAACCACCGCACCTGGCCTCGATGAACTTTTACAAAATGAACACATCAGTGTAACCAGTATCCAACTCCCTCTCCCATGGCTCCTTCTAGTTGTCAGCCACCTTAAGGGCAAACAATATCCTCAATTCTAACACCCTAGATTCAGTTTTAACTGTTTTTTGAATCCCATGTAAATGGAATCATACATGACATACCCTTGTTTCTGTTTTCTTTCACTCATCATGAGATTCACCCATCTCATGTAGTTTTAGTTCATACATTCTCAGTGCTTTGTAGTACTCCATTGTGTGACTATATAAAATATCGTTATCTCTCTTGCTGTTAAGAGGTATCTGGGTAGTTTCCAGTTGGGGCTATTGTGAATAGTGTTGCTGAATATATTTATGCATTTCTCTTACGTAGGTCTCTAGATTGAGGTTTCTGGAATATCTATCTGTCTATCTAGATATAGAATATGGGCAAGATTTAGCTCCGTATAAAAGGACAGAAACACAGGTCTGACAAGTTACATCAATATATATCTATGAATATAGATCGATATATATTTTTTCAGCTTGAGTAGATACTACCATATCTGTGGTTGACATATTAAAAGATTATTTCAAGCTGACCTGATATGCACCTGTAATCTTAGCTCCTGAGCAGGCTGAGGCAGGTGGATCACTTGAGCCCAGGAGTTTGAGACCACCTTGGGCAACAGTCAATCAATGAATGAATGATAGATTTTGGGTGCTGAGTGAAGAATAGAATGTGATAGTTGGTGGGGGGTGGCACGAGTGGAGAGACCAGACAGGAGCTTATTGTAATAGTCCCAGCAAAGGAGGACAGTGTCGGCTTTGGCCAGGGTAACAAGTGAAGAGATGG